CTGTTCTACAAAGATCAGTACTTTTTAAAGTCACCAGTGACTTCTACTTTCTCACCTCCATGAGACTTTTAGTTGTTGCCTTTCTACGTCTCGCGTTATTTAACACAGATGACTACTTCCTTGAAACTCTGAATCATTACCTGAAGGGACCACAAACATTCCTGCTTTCCTTCCTTCCTCTCTAAGCTCTCCTTCTCAGTTTTGTTTTTTGTTTTTTGCTCATTATCTGTTCTCTAACTGAGTGCAATTTTGTCCATCACTATAGCTTTTGTGTGTGTGTGTCAGTTTGGTTTTGTCAATTCCCAAATATGTAGGGAAGCTAGTTCCCACCTCAGCCTTTGTATGTGCTGACCCCTTTATTCAGTTAAATGTTTGTTTTTCTTTTTTTAAGGTGTCAGCTTGAATATGTTTTTTTCAGATTACTTTGGCTGACTTTCTGAGTTAGATTACATTTTCCTTTTCTAGTTTATTATAGTGTTCTGTATTTTTCCTTCATAGCACTTAAGATTTGAAATTACATATTGTTGTGATCTTAAAAAAATCATGTAGTTTCTATAACTTATATTAAGCTAGTAGCTCCATGAAAGCAGTGACATTATCTGCGTCCCCTCAAACCTGGCACGTAGTAGGTATTGAAAACCCATTTGTTAAATGAATATATGAAGTGTCAGTGATTGGAAGATCACATTCAAATGTATTTATAGCTTATTCTCTTGTTGTATGATATGTCAAATGGTAGTCTCATAATCTTTGTAGTTTTCAGATAGACTATGGAATGAAAGAGATACTATGTTTATTGAAAATGTGCCTTACTGTTTTATTTTCGTTCCTCAATCCTCAGTGCATGGCTTTCAACTTTTTTCCCTTTGCAGTTTTCCCTCTGCCTCGCCATTTTGAAGAATCTTGCTTAATTTTGATTATTCCATATTATATTATTTTATACTATATTAGAATGGAAACAGCTCAAATGTCCAACAAATAAATGGATACATAAAATGTGGTATATACATTCAGTGGAATATTACTTAGCCTTAAGGAATGAAATTCTGATACATACTATATAGATGAACCTTAAAAACATGCCAAGTGAAATAAGCCAGACACAAGAAGATAAATATTGTACACTTTCTTTTATGTGAGAATACCTAGAATAGAGACAAAGTGGAATAGAGGTTACCAGGGGCTAAGAGTAGGAGAGAATAGGGAGTTAGTTTAACTGGTGTAGAAATTCTTTCTGGGATGATGAAAAAATTCTAGAAGTGGATAGTGGTAATGGTTGCACAACATTGTAAACGTACTTAATGCCTCTAAATTGTACACTTAAAATGCTAACTTGTATATTATGTATATTTTGCCACAACCAACCAACAAAAAGAAGTATTAAAAATGAAGTGATTGGCTCTTGGATGAGAAAGATTGAGGTACTGGTCCCTTGAAGAAGTTAAGTGATAGGATTGGAATTTGACACAGCATTTTAAAATGACTATAACTTAATTTAAAAATGTTTTTAAAATTTTTAAAAAAATCATGTGCCTAAATTATGGAATTTTGAATGAATTAATTAGAAACATATACAATATTCTTAAAATATTATAACATTTAAATTAAATACTCTTTATAACTAAGCATATTAGCATTTAGAAAACAGGGAAAAAATAAGATCCTTGAATTTTACCCCCTCCAATAACTTATGACTTTGTGTATTCAATTTTTTTTTTTTTGATACCTAAATGTACCCCTTTTAAAGATAGTTTAGTTTCCCATGGGAGTCATAGGGAAGAAAGCAAATGTGGATTTTGTTGTTTCAGGTAAAAGGGATGTTTTGGGGTATTCTAAAAGTAGGTTAGTTCTGTTTAGAAAAGATAAGATGTTAAAAGGGTTGGAGTAGCCCCTAGGAGGAAGAAAAGATTAAAAGATTTTTAAAAAAACAAAGAATTTGAGACTTGTTGGTTGTAACAGTTATTGATAATTTAGATAGGTGCTCTAACTGTGGAATTTGGCTATCTATAAAAACAAGTTAATTTCTATACTGTTCACCAGTAAGTAGTTATTTCAGAAAATTAAAAATGTTTTTTAAAAATTTGTTTTGATATCAAATACAGAAATACAGCCTCATTGTTCTTGCTCTTAACTAATGACCACTTGGCAATAGTTCCCTAGGGTTGAGCTCTTCGACACATAATTGCTTGTTGCAAATTTGAAGTACTGTTAAAACCTTTTGAAAAAGTTCTGTAAGCTTTTAATCATTTGCATTTGTCTAGACAGTTTCCTTTTTAAAAAGTTAATAAATAGTTCATTGAGTTTACTTGGTTGAAACCCCCCCCCATTCTCGTTATAGCTGATGTGTTACTGATCCTAGATTATGCTGTACGTTTATGTGAATCCAAATATTGAAGGAGTAGTTAGCTGTTTTTGTTTCTCTCTCACGACGCTTCACTAGAAATGAAATCCAGGATTCAGAGAGACAGATGTATCTACTTGATGCATTTCGGCTGGGTGTACTTCAGTTTCTTTCCAAGATTTTACTCAGGGTTTTATTTTACCTTGAATCAGTGTAACATGTATAGCAAATGGCTGACATTAGCCATCAATATTTAAAATAGCCTTTCAAAAACTTAAGATATTTCCTTTTTGTCTGAGGATGTAGATTTTACAGTTTACAGGAAAACTAACTCAGCGCCCCCCTTTCTTCCTATTTTCTCCTGACTGAAGTCCATACTTCTTCCTGTGATTACAGACTGCCCCCACTGATCATGGAATTCAAACCCTAGAGCAGTTCACACCCTAGTCTCACGAATATACTCATACAGCTTCATGGAGCTGTTTCTGGGCTTTGGGGCATTCTTTCTTTTTTTAAAAATCTTTTAAAATTTAGAGTTTGTAAAAGATGTTCTTTGCATCTTTGAGCTATATAGTTCTGTAGTGCTCAGGGTCCAGTCAGCAGACAAAAGCTACATGGTAATTTAAACAGGGAAGTTATTAAGTTAACTGGTTAATTTATTAACTGTAAGTTGTTAACTGGTTATTAACTGGTAACCAGGAATTAACGACTAAAAGGTAAAGATAACACAGAAGAACACAGTAATAACAAATAGGGGGCAACTGCTACCTCTAGGGCTGAGACACTGTGCCCCGGTAAAGAATAACTTTCAGGGAGTCCCCTCCATGTTCACAGGTTGTGCTCTCCCTGGAGAAGGTGAGGCTCTGGTCCAGTAAGTTCACTGGTGCCATAGCCTAGGGTGGCACATAGGAAACCACTTTCTGGGTACTAGAACTTGCTGGAAAGCCTCTTGCTGGGCACTTGTCCAGCTCACTGGGGACCAGCAGAGGCACCAGCAGAATTTTCTGGGAATCCACCCACAGGCATTTTGTTGAACGTTGCTGAAAGGTTAGTGCCACGAGTAACTCTCATATTGCTGGGGTGCTGCATGCCAAGAGAGCAAGCAGGCAAGAGCACACTAAAACTGGGAAGAAAAGGCCCCTTTCTTTCTTTCTGTGATGCTCTCCCAGCTCTCTACTGACAAAACTTAACATTGAGCCAGCTGGCAAAGGAGAAATGTTTATAGGGTCCAGTTCCACTACTACAGAAAAGGGCAAAGAAGGCTGGATTTAGAACTAAAAGTCGATAAATTGATAACTGGCACAGATGGCTTCATTTGTTTTTCCATAGAATAACTGGAATCATTGACTGATCCCATTTACCACTTATGGTTACTTGATTTCTTTCCATCTGCGCCACAGCTAAACTGGTACGGTGTTATTGCCTGAATAGGAGGATCTAAGATTTCTTACCTTTACTCAGGACATTGAGCCATCTTTTATCCTCATCTCTTTATGAAAAAATCTTGACAGTCTTTCAAAAAATCAACTCAGATATTACCTCCACAAAGCTGGTGGCCTTTTCTTTAGTTCAGTGTATCTTCTTCTCTCTCAGTATTTTTTTTAAAGGAGAATTATCACCTTTTATTTTAATGTTATATAGTAATAGTAAGTAGATTAATACATAATTACTATTAAGTAGTTCCCTTACTAGATTAATTTTTTAATTAAGATTTATGATCAGTTTCCTTCAGGAGACTAGACAAATACCTCAAGACTAAAGACAAATGGGACTTCACTATTTTAATTATTTATTCATGAAATTACAGAGGAAATAGATAAGAAGTATCATAGCTGTCCTTTTAAATGGGAAATTCAAGTTCTTTATACCTATGATTTAAAAAATGTACATGGGAGATAGAATAAGAAAATTTTAGAACTGAGATGACTTTAGAGATTATCTGATTCCAATTCATAATTTTTGATAGAATTAGGCCCCCGAAAGTCAGTGTCTCCAAATTGGAATTTGTTTTTTCTTGAAATCCTCCCCTATTCTTGTTTTCTTTTGGGCTAAGTTAAAATTTTATTAGTTCAAACTTAGAATATATGTAACAAATATATAAATTATGAAACACAATAATAAAAACACTTGTGAAATGACCTTATCACCAGTTCCATTGGAGCTGCCTCTGTTTCTACACTATCCCATTCATTTCCCTTATTTTGCTGTTTAGAAATCTCAGTACTGTGTTGAGTAAGAATGGTGAGCACATACTTCCCTGCCCACTTGTTCATAAAGAGAGAGCATTCAGTCATTCACCACTAAGTATGGTATTAGTTGTAGGTTTTTTGTGGATACTCTTTATCAAGGTGAGGAAGTTTCCCTCTGTTAGTCTCCTAGGGCTGCTGTACCAGGTACCACAAATTGGGGTGACTTTAAACAACAGAAATCGTCTCTCAGGTTCTGGAGGCTAGAAATTGGAAATCAAGTTGTTGGCAGGGTTGGTTCCTCCTGGAGGCTCTGAGGAAGAATCTGTTCCATGCCCCTCTCCTAGCTTCTTGTGATTGCCTGGAGTTCTGTGGCTTGTATACTCATCACCCTGTTCTCAGTCTCTGTCCTTACATAGTATTCCTGCTGTGTCCACATTTTCATCTTCCTAGGAGTATACCAGTCATTGGATTAGGGCTACCAGGATGATGTCATCTTAACTTAATTACATCTGCAAAGACCCTATTTTCCTAAATAAGGTTACATTCCCAGGAACTTGGGGAGAGGGTTTATCTTTTGAGGAGGAGCACATGTCATCCCAAATGTCCTCTAATCCAAGTTAGTTTAGAGTTTTTATCATAAATGGGTGTTGGTTTTGTCAAATGCTTCTTATGTGATCAGTTGATAATGTCCATATGATTTTTCTTGTTTAGTCTATTCATATGGCAAATTACAGTGATTTGTGAATACTGAGCCATCCCTGTACACCTGAAATAAATCCTTCTTGGTTGTGAAGTAGTATATAATTTTTTAACATGTGGCTGCGTTTGGTTTGCTAACATATTGTTGAAGATCTTGTTTTTAAGTTCATGAGATATTGGTCTTTAGTTTTCTAACTTTTGTACTGCTGTTTGGTTGTAACACTGACCTCATAAAATTAGTTGAGAAGTACTCCCTCTTCTATTTTCTGGAAGATACTGTATAAAATTGATGTTCTTTAGAATGTTTGGTGAAATTCTCAATTGAAACCATCTGGACTTGGAGATTTCTTTTTCAGTAGCTTTTAAGTAACAAATTTGACTTATTTAATGGTTACAGGACTATGCAAATTATCTGTTTCATATTGGTTGAGTTCTGATAGTTTGTGGTCTTTCAGGAATTTATCCATTCTTTCTGAATTGTCAGATTGTACTATATCCTCATTGTCCTTTTAATGGCTGCAGAATAGTGACACATCTGTTTCAATGCTGATACTGGTGATTTTTATTTTCTCTCCTATTTTTGTCAGTCTTATTATAGGTTTGTTATTTTTTTCAAAAGACCAGAATTTTGTTTCATTGATTTTTCTCTCTTGTTTTTGTCAATTTTTTAAAAATCATTTTGTGACTCAGGATATGGACTGTTTTGATGTATGTAAATGTTCCATGCATGCTTGAAAAGCATGTGTATGTATTTTCTTCTGGTTTTGGGTAGAGTGTTCTGTGAATGTCGGTTAGGTCATTTTGGTGAATAGAGTTGTTCAAATCTTCTATATCCTTATTGATTTTCTGTCTACTTGTTTTATTGATTATTGAAGGAAGGATGTTGATGTCTCCAAGTATAATTGTACATTTGTTTATTTCTCTTTTCAGTTATTTCAGTTTTTGCTTTATGTATTTTGAATATTTGTTGTTAGGTGCATATTACATCAAGGGCATTAAGTTTTCTTAGTCAATTGACTCTGTTATCGTTTTTTAATTACCATCTTTATCCCTGGTAATATTCTTTGTTTTGACGTTTATTTGAATACTCAGAATACTTTTGATTAGTGTTTGTGTGGTATGTATTTTTTCCATTCTTTTAACTTACTTTTTATATATAAAGTAAAGTTTTGATGGACAACATGTCATTTTTTAATCCAATCTGGATGATCACTGATATGATTAGATTTAGTCTACCACTTTATTTATTTTGTGTTTTTCCTTTTTGTTTTTTAATTCACTGTACCCCTCTCTACTGCCTTCTTTTGAATTATTTGTTTTGCAAAACCTTACTACTGTTTAGGTCTCTTCATCCATTCCCTTTATGTTATAGCTGTCGTATATGTTACATCTTGTACATGGACTGCCCCACCAGACAACATTACTAATTTTGCTCTGCAGCCATATATAGCTGAAAGACTGACTACATTTACCCATATGTTTACCATTTCTTTTGTTCTTCTTGCTTCCTTGAAGGTCCACATTTCCCTCTAGTACTGTTTCCCTTCAGCGTGAAGAACTTTCCTTCCAGTATTTCTTTTAGAGAAGATCTGCTGGTGATGATTTCTCTTAGTTTTCCTTCATCTGAGAATGTATTTATTTGTTTGTTTGCTTGCTTGCCTTACTTTGAAGGTTTTTTTTTTCTGGGTATAGAATTTGGTGTTGATAGTTCTTATTTTTCAGTGCTTTAAATATGTTGCTCCAACTGCCTTTTGGCCTCTAAGGTTTTTGATGAGAAATACCTGGTTGGTTGAATCATTGTTCTTCTATAAGTAATACATTGTTTTGTCTGGTTGCTTTCAAGATAATTTCTTTACTGCTTAGTTTTCAGCAGTTTGATTTTTAATATGTCCAGGTGTGGATTTCTTTGTGTTTAATCTGTTCAGCAGAGGGAGGGTATAGATGAGTGGTAGACTGAGTGCTTAGCATGCATGCATGAGGCCCTGGGTTCAATCTTCAGTACCTCCAGTTAAATATATTTGTGTATATATAAAATAAAAATCAATAAAATAAACCTAATGACCCCCCCAAAAAAGTAAAAAAAAAAGTTTAAATAATCTGTTTAGCATTCACTTATCTTCTTGAATCTGTAGCTTTATATCTTTTGCCAAATTTGGCAAGTTTTCAGCCATTCTTCAAATATTTTTTTCTTCACCACATTCTTTCTCTTCTACCAACATTGTGATTACCTCTGGGTATTTTACCGTAGTTCCCTGAGTTGCTGCTCATTTTTTTTGCAACCCTTTTTCTGTCTGTCTTTCATATTGGATTGATTCTGTTGCTGTATTGTCACATCCCCTGACACTTTTCTTTGTCTTTTAAATTCAGCTATTGAGCCCATCCAGTGAGATTTTTTATTTCTGATGTTATACCTTTTAATTCCAAAATTTCTGTTTCATTCTTTGTTTATGGTTTCTCTCTCTGCTGAAAACTTCTGTCGTCCCATTAACTTCATTTATCTTTACTTCATGGAGTATAATATTAACGAATGCTTTAAATTTTTGTCTGAAAAATCTAACATCTGGATAATCTCAGATTGGCAACTGTTGATTGTCTTTCCCTTGAGAATTTGTCACATTTTCCTTGATCTTTGTTTATTGATAAATTTAAGGTTGTATTCTGGGTTTTTGAATATTGTGTTGTGTTTAGTCTCTGTTTTTCTGTTAAAAACTTCTGGGGAATGATAATTTCTATCTCTTTTTTAAGTAGGTAGCCCAACTGTTCTGTCTTACCTTCTGTAGGTGTTAGTCATGTTAGTTCAATAATTAGTTCAGTTTTCAAAGCCTGTGCTCTGCTGTTTTGGATCTGTACTATGCATGTGCCACTCAGGTTTAGTCTGAGATGTGAGCAGTGATTCAGTTTTCAGAGCCTTTGCTGTGTTGTTTGGGAATGTCCTAAGTATGCAGAGCTCAGGGTCTTGTGTGGAAATTAGGGGATTCCTTTCTCTAGTTCTCTTCTTTTGGGAATCCCTCCTCGTACCCTCCCCCTCTTAGAATTTTATTTGTCCCCTGCAGTAGTACATCTCCTCAGCTAGGGCCTACTTTTTAGTCAAAATGGTGAGGAAAAAACCGTAGAAAACTCACTCAGAGTTTAGCCAACTCTGAAATTAGAGGGTAGATTCCACACGACTGCCTTCACTTATTAGACCAACTGCATAGTTGAGGGTTTTTAAGACTACTCTCATGGCTTGATAATTTGCTGAAAGTACTTGGATAACTCACTGAAAACTGTTAAACTCCTGGTTTTGGAAAGGATATAGATTAAGGTTTACTCAAGGGAAGAGACAAATAAGGTAGCGTCAAGATATAGTACCTAACACAGAGCGCCCAGTCATTCTTTCCCCATGACTTAGGACAGTGTTAATTCTCAACATCAGGATGTGACAGTAAGCACAGAATATAGCCAACCAAGGAAGCTCACTTGAGCCTTGGTGTCCATAGTTTTTACCGGGGGTACATCATGTAGGCAGGATTCAATTTTCAGTGTCTAGCCTCTCTAGTGGTCAACTGATAATCATGTGACTCAAGCCCCCACGTAAATCACATTGTTGGTGTGTCTCAAAGCCCCACTCCCCGTTACAATGTTACTATCTGGCTGGTCCAAGACCCTCATAGGGCCTAGCGATTATCTCTTAGAAGCCAAGGGCAAGGCCAGACTTTCTATGGTAAAAGTAAACTCTTTACTACATACTTCTATATGAGTCAGATTTTGACTTCCAATATGCCAGCTTTCTTAATTTTCAGTGTTTTAAGTAGCTGCTTTTAAAAAATGGACATAGTCTTAAAAGTCAACATTTTAGGGCATATAGCTCAGTGTTTTTTGTTTTTTTTAAAGATATTCTCACCTAAAACATTTTCATCGCTTCCTGAAGAAACCCTGTACTCATTAGCTGCCTCTCCCCTTCTTTGTCCCCGACAACCTTCCCCATGTCCCAGCCCTAGGCAACCACTAATGTACTTTCTATCTCCATGGATTTGCCAGTTTTGGATATTTCAAGGAATGGAGTCATACAATATGTGGTCTTTTGTGACTGGCTTCTTTCACATGTTATAATGATTTGAAGGCTCATTCATGTTGTAGCATTTATCAGTACTTCATTTCTTTATTGCTGAGTAATATTCAATTGTATTCCAAATGGCACATTTTGTTCACCCATTCATCCTTTGTTGGACATTTGGTTGTTTCCGCTTTTTGGCTATTATGGATAATGTTGCTATGACCATTCATGTACAAGTTTTGTGTGGGAAGTTGCTCTGTATTTTTGACCACAGTGTTTTGTTGTAACTAGCCAGAGAGAGAGGGGGAGAGAGATGCTGTTGTCGGCCTGCTCTGTCTTTACCAGCACCAGAAGTCCTAGTCAGTTTTAAATCTTGAAATTGAATTGATCTTTAAATTCTAGGAAACTTCATGAGTAACCCACAAATTTTAAGTCAGAATCATTGAGTTTTTCATTGACTTAGAATAGAATTCTAAATTTTGGTGTAAATGTTGCTTTCCAGTCATTTTTAAATTACGGTAAGGGGAGGTAATCACAAATAGTTGAGTGTAGGCCATTTAACATAGGTGTCTTATAACTAGGTGTTTGGAACCTCACTGTTGACTAGTTCCTTAATTGGAGCATGGTTTTTCTACCAAATAAGTAAGTGGATGTGACTAGAACACAGCAGACCAGTGTGAATCCATTGGCATGGTTAAATGTTTAATAAGCATTGCTCTCTCCAAATGTATAATCAGTCCCCAAAATGGAAATAATAAACCTACCCCAAACACATTTATACCTGATAATTACGAGATGGTATATAGTCTGATATATATTTTAGATAAATATAATTTATAAAAAATGGATTATAGCAGTTAGAAGTTGAAGGGATTAAGGAGAGTAATAAAGAGGCTGCCCCTTATGTAATATATGGTGGTGGTTTGGATTAGGGTGAAGATAAGCAGGGCTGCAGAGAATAGACAGATTTGAGATAATGTTTCAGGACTTGCTGATGGATTGGATGTTGAAGGTGTAAGGGAGGAGGAAGTGGAAAATTGTTTTCTAGACTTCCTGATTGAACAGCTGCCACTTACCATAGGGAAGAACTGAGAAACTGGGAAATTGAAAAGGGTTGATGAGTAAAGAATTCATGGAGAATATTAATGTTCTGAACCTCATGAGGGGTGAGGGGGGTATTCAAGTATGGGGAATGGTTTTGTTATACATGTTAGGACAGCAATGAAAAGGTAGCAGTGATCTGGAGCTATAGTGTAGGTATCTGTTTTCCAATAATACCTAATACCTGCTTAGCTTTTAAATTAGGTTGCTCATTACTTATTTGTCACCTGTGAAACAAGTCAGGCAGTATTTAAAAGCATTGGTGTTTTACAGAAAAAGACCTGGAAGAGAAGTTAAGTGCTAATTATATAGTTGTAATGGCAGATTTGGGGACAAGCAGATGACTTGGATGTGCATTCCTTAGAAATGAAGTTTATTTAGTTCTATTACAACATTATGCCCCTGATTAATAATACCCCCAAATGGGTAATCTCTTTTGCATCCCTCATCCTTCCCCAATCTGTTTTCCAAACCAGTTACATTATTTCAGTCATAGAATGTTATAGTTGGAAACGATGATATTATAGTTATACCTCATTTTATTATTGAAGAATTAAGGCCCATGGAGGTTGAAACTTGGCCAGGATTGTGTAACTTGCTCAGTGAAAGTAGAAACTCGGGCTTACTGCTTACTTCTGTTTTTTTCAGTACATACTGCCCTACATCTATAGTTCTCCCTACTCTTCTGATTAGTATATTTGCTCCATTATTTTTCAAATAAAACTTATACCATGTGCTAACATGTAACAACATTAGGTTAGGTGCTGTCTAACTATAAATTGCTTTCTGGAAGAATTTGAAATAAAAACCCCAGTCATTTTATAATAACTTGGCTTCTGAAGGGCCAGTACATTTTTAATGAACTTATTCTAATGGAACATTTAAATAGATCTTTATATTGTTGTCTTACAGAGCTCAAATTGTTATCTAGCAGGGAGTTTTTCTTATGCTTCAGTCTTGTATCCCAAGCAGGGTCCTTTACAGTTGCAGTTGTAAAGATCTGGGAACCGCCTAGCAAAGATCATGCTCAGATTGAAATTTTACCTCTTTGGAGAAGCCCTGATTGTATCTGTATTAAATGCATTTACTTATGAACAGAATAATCTCCCTCACATGGTATTTAAGTATGTTTTAGCTCACCTCATACCGAAAACTAACCTGATTAACTAACTTTTCCCTCATCTCTTCTTAAGTAAAAGTATATAGCAAGGGAACTAAAGTCAACATTCTGTTACTGCTTTTCAGCAGAAATCATCCCTATAGACCACATCATTTGACTGTTTGCCAGGCTGAATTGCCTTGAGGTATTCTCACTAGAAAGATTAAATTGATACCATATTTATCTAAGGTTGACTGATACCTTTGAATTTGGCCTGCATTTTCTTCATCTGCTAGTTACAGTTTGCTTTCAAGCCCACAAACCTTGTTGGGGTGTCAAAAGGAATTAATTAGGAAAAAACAACACAGAATGCTTGGATATTGACAGAAAAGAGTATGCTTATCTGTTGTTTTTCAGCTTCATAATGAGTTCCATTATGGATCAAAGGGAACCTTAGAGTCTATAGCTGATGGCTTTATGATGGCTCCTTGAAATTGAAATGCATGGGAAGAATATTAAAGAATGGGGAATATTTATGGTATCCACACTTTAAACTACTGTAATAGTTTTACTCTGCCAAATAATTAAGATATGGCAATTGCTATCTGAAGTGGTTTAGACTGTTTAGTTGTTGTATTTTAAGACACTGATATTTGGGGCAACTTTTAAATTCTAAAGAGGAAATTAATGTTTTATGTAGCAAAGTGGAGGGTGGGTACTAATTTGAAGATTTTGGATATTGGTGGGAGGGGAAGGGAGAGTTTATTGTGCTTTGTGAAGAAAAATTAAAAGTTCTTTTTTTTTCCCCCTCCTTTCATTTTCTTGGGGTGCATTCCAACTTCAGAAGGTAAGAATTTATTCTCAAGAAGTATTATACATTTATAAAGCATTCTTTTACAAGTTTAATTGAACTTACCTTTGGATGCATGATTTTTACTTTATAAAACTAAATAATTAGTCTAAAAACTTAATTAAGATTAATATTACTATGTAAATGTTTATATGTACCTTTTTTTTGTTCTTGCAGTTTATAATAATCATTGTTTGGTCATACTTTTAGAAACCCAGTCTACATTTAGTTTTATTAAAATCATTTTGACTTACTAACATTGAGATACCTAGTATTCAGCAGATAAGTAATGAAAATAATGTAGAGATTGGAAATGTGTGAACTAATACTTCCTGTGTGGCTATAAGATAGAAAATATATATATTTATGCTCTTACTGATTTATAGAGAATATTGGTAAACCCTTGAAGGGAATGTCATTTATTTAAAACCAGGCCCAGAACAGGTTAAAATTCATGGTCTTTACCAAATTGGCCTTTTGTCTGTGTTGACATAACATTTTAGACATAATTCTGTTAAATACTTTCCATATTATATTATAATCGCTTATTATTATTATCTCATTTGCCTGTCAGACTTGACAGTAGGAACCATATGCATGTGTTTTCATTTCACTTGGACATGCTTGGCTTCTTTCTAGTTAGAGCTTAATAAATCTTTTTAACTCCAGTTAAATTTACATCCATTAAGTTCATTTACAAGAACCTATTCATTTTTTCGACTATCAGTTTATGGAGGAAACCTTAATTCAGGTTGTACAAACAGTTAAAACTGTCATTTAAAAAATTATAAACTGGGTAAGAAAAAATATTTTTGAGGTGGGTTTATATTTAATTAGTTTCTTTAGGTATGAATAATAGAAACCAAATGTGAATAACTTAAGCAAAATGAGATTTATTTGAAGAATGTGGGATAGCTCACAGGCTCAAAGGAAGGAAACAGGCTCTGAAATTAAGAGAACTATGGCAGCTGCAGAGATTGGATCACTTGAACTAATGGGTGGGCTCATCAGGGCATTCCAGCTGAGATGAATTAGTCTATGTCTATACTGCTCAAGGTTAAAATTCAAGAAAGAGTGAATTTGGGTGGCCCATTGTCCAGAGATGGTGAGACATCTTGATGGACAGTCCTACAAAGACTGTTTTCAGTGGAGTAAGGCATAGTTCCCCATAGCAAGATTGCACATTCTTTCCAGAGGAAGAAAGATTATATATTGACCAGGCGGAAACTGCAGATGTCCACTACATTGCTTACTGTAGAAGATACGAGTACAACAGAAAAACATAAGCCACAAGCAGTTGTAAGAAATAACCCTTTGTGTATTCTCCCAAAGGTAACATTGTGCAGTACCACAGGACAGTATCACAACCAGAATATTGCTTTTGATACAATCTGCCTGGTTTTACTTGTATTCATTTGTGTGTGTGTAAGTATGTGCATGTGTGGAGGTGTATTTGGCTCTGTGCAGTTTTATCCACACGTATAGATTCATATGTCTACTACCACAGTCAAAACAGAACAGTTCCATCAACAAGAAGATCCCTTGTATTGCCATTTCATAGTCACACCTAACTCTGTAGTGCCACCTTTTCTCATTCCCCTCATCCCTGGAAACCACTAATCTGTTCTACATTTCTGTAATTATGTCATTTCAAGAATTTATGTTGATGCAATCATGTACAGTGTGTAACCATTCGGGATTGGCTTTTTTTTTCAATGTAATTCCCTGTAGAGTGGTCTAAGTGCTTGTATGTGTCAGTATTTCACTCCTTTTTATTGCTAAGTAGTATTTTACAACACAGATATACCCCACTCACGGACATATCATTCACCCACTGAAGGTCATCTGGATTGTTTCCGGTTTTGGGCTATTACAAGTAAAGTTTCTATGAAAATTTGTGTACATGTTTTTATGTAGACATACATTTTCCTTTGTCTGGGATAAATGCCCAGAAGAGCGGTTGGTGAGTGATAGGTGCATGTTTAGTTTTAAAGAAACTTCCACACTATTTTCCAGGTGATTGTACCATTTTATTTATAGTCCCACCAATAATATACGAGTGATCTAGTTTCTCTTAATTTGAAATTAATTTCTTATAAAGAGCATATAGCTGTGTGTGTGTATGTTTTAATTCACTCTGCCAGTCTTTGCCTTTTAATTTATGTATTTACACCATTTACCCTTTAAGTAATTATTGATATGTTGGAGTTTGTGTCTTCCATTTTATTATTTGTTTTGTTTCCTCTGTTTCTCTTTTCTTGCCTTCCTATGAATTCCATATGGGTTTATTTATAGTGCATTTTTTTGTATCTGTACATAGTTTTCTTTATCACAGTCTACTGGTATCAGCATTTTACCACCTTGAGTGAAGTGTGGGAACTTCATTATTCCATTTAAGTTCTTATCAGATGGTATTATAATTTTTTGTTCCAGTCATCAAATCTAAGTTTAAAAACTCATGAGAAGAGGATAGTCTGTTGTATGTACCCATATTCCTGCTCCTTCTGTTTTCTTCTTGATGCTCTGGTATTCTTTCTTTTATCATTTCCTTTCTGTTTGAAGAACTTCCTTTAGTCATTCTTTGAGTAGGTTCTGTTAGCAACACATTCCTTTAGTTTAGTTTTACTTTGTCTGAGACTGTCTTTATTTCTCCTTTGTTTCTGGAGAGATTTCATCAGATATAGAATTTACAATTGACAGTTGATTTTGATCAGCACTTGCAAGACGTTGTGCCACTTCCTTCTGGTCTCTGTGGTTTCAGATGAGAAATCTGCTGTCATTTGAATTAGTGTTTCCCTGTGGGTAATGTGTTGTTTCTCTCTGACCACTTTCAGGACTTTAAAAAAATTTGCTGTTTAGAAATTTAATTATGATTTGTCTTGGTGCTGGACTTCTTTAATTTTATCTTATTTATTAGATTCACTGAGTTTCTTGTGTATGTAGGTTTATTTTTCACCAAATAAGAGTTTTTCAGCCGTTAATTCTTTGAATACTCTTCTTCTCCTTTCCTTTTGTGACTCTAATGATACGAACTTTGAATCTTTTGTTTCATCCCACAACTCCCTGAGGGTCAGTTAAATTTTTTTGTTGTTATATTCTCCCTGTTGTTCACAGTGGGTAAATTTTATTGATCTGTCATTAAGGTCATTGATTGTATTCACTGTCATCTCCATTCTACTGTTGAGCCCGTCTAGAAAATTTTTACGTTTCTTGCTGTACTTCTCAGTTCTGTATCTTCTATTCACTTCTTTTCCTCACTTCAATTTCCTTGCTGATATTTGCTGTATTTTCATTTGTTTCAAGACAATTTATAAGTGCTTATTGAAGCATTTTATGACAGCTTTTATAAAAACCTTGTAATTTGAACATCTGTTGCAGTGTTGGTGTCAGTAGATTGTCTTTTCTCATTCAGGTTGTGATTTTCCTGGTGTTTGGGTATGAAGGGTGATTCTTCTATTGAATACTGGATATTTTAGCTATTATGTTAGAAGTTGGGTGCTATTAAATTTAAATATTTTATCTAAACAGGCGTTCACACT